GAATATTAATTTTTAGTTGTGTGTATGTGTATTCTTGTTTGCTTTTGAAATCTGGCCTTGTAGAGTGAGTTTGAAATGGTTTCTCCCTTTCCAGGTTTTTAGAAGAATTTAAGAAGAATTGATATTAGTTCTTGGAAGTTTGGTAGAGAATTTATAGTGAAGCTATTTGGTCCTGATTTTTACTTTGTTGGGAGTCTTTCAATTACTGATTCAGTTTGTTACTTGTTATTTGTTCAGACCTCTGTTTTCAGTTTTGATAAGTTATATATATTCAGAAATGTATACATTCCTTCTGGGTATTCCAATTTGTTGAAATATTGTTGTTAAAATGGTCCCTAGTGATCATATTTCGTTTGTCAGTTGTAATATATCCTTTTTTATCTGATTTTATGTATTTGAATCTTCTTTTTTCTAATGGCTTATTGGTTTTGTTTGTCTTTTTAAAAAATCACTTCTTTAATTCATGAATATTTTTGTTAGTCTGTATTTCATTGATCTTTGATAATTCCTTCTAACTTTGGGTTTGGTTCTTGTTTTTCCAGGTCCTTGAGATGCATTGTTAAGTTATTAACTAGCTTTCTATTTTCTAGGCACTTATTATAAACTCTCCTGTTAGTATGGATTTTCCCTATATCATGTATGTTCTGATATGTTATATTTAGTTGCAAGGAATTTTTAAGCTTGATTCTTTAATGATCCATTTTTCATTCAGAATCATGTTGTTCACTCTCCAAAATTGGAAAGTTTACTGTAATTATTTCACTAAATAGGCTTTCTAGTCCATTCTCTCTTTCCACACCTTCAGGAACTACTAAGACCCATATGCTGTGTTGTTTGATAGTATCCCATAAATCTCCAACACTATTTTTAAGTTTTTTAATTTCTTTTTTTTTTTTTGGTCTGACTGAAAGATTTCTGAAGATTTGTCTTCTAGCTCAGATATTCTTTCATCTACCTCACCAACTGTATTGTTAATGCTTTCCACTGCATTTTTAATTTGATCTGTTCTTCATTTCTGATATTTCATTTGATTCATTTCTCTTTAAAATCTATATTTCATGGGAAAAATTTTCATTCGTGTCATGCATGTTTTTCTTTAGTTCATGGATTTGTTTCTGATTGCTTTTGAGTAATCCTATGACTATTTTTTGTGAATTACATTTCTGCCATTTCATTAGTCTCTTCATCCCCACATTCTAATATTGAAATTTGTGTTTGGGGCTAACGCTTTGGGGTAGCTGGTAAAGCCACTGCCTACAGTGCTGGCATCCCATATGGGCACCAGTTTGAGTCCCAGCTGCTCCACTTCCAGTTCAGCTCTCTGCTATGGCCTGGGAAAGCAGTAGAAGATGGCTCAAGTCCTTGGGCCCCTGTACCTGTGTGGGAGACCCTGAAGAAGCTCCTGGCATTGGATCAGTGTAGCTCCAGCCATTACAGCCAATTGGGGGGTAAACCAGTGAATGGAAGACCTCTCTCTCTCTCTTTCAAATAAATAAATAAATAAATCTTTTTTTTTTTAATGTTCCTTTTTTATTTGCAAAGTAAATTGGTACCTTGTAGTATGACAAGACTTTCTTTTATTGTTTTACTTATTTGAAAGGCAGAGTTACAGGGAGGGAGGGAGGGAGGTATTCCATATGCTGGTTAACTCCCCAGATGCCACAATGGCCAGAGCTGTGCCAATCTGAAGCCAGAAGCCAAGAGCTTCTTTCAGGTCTCTCATGCGGGCGCAGGGATCTAAGGACTTGGGCCATCTTCTGCTTTCCCAGGCCATAGCAGAGAGCTGGATGGGAAGTGGAGCAGCCAGGACTTGAATGAGCACCCATATGGGATGCTGGCACTGCAGGTAGCGGCTTTACCTGCTATGCCACAATGCTGGTCCTGAAATGTCATGTTCCTTTGGGAGGGTCATGTTGTCTTCCTTACTCTTGTTTCTTGAATTTCCACATTTATCTTTAGGTATTAGTGGAGTTAATTGTTTCTCTCTTGTGGCTTTTATCTTAGAGCTATGCCTCTGTGGCTTAGTGGAATGTCTGCACATTCAGTGAGTACCAAGAGGGGTGTGGTGGGTGTGGCCAGGGAGATCTGGTCATTGTTCACAGTGGGGCAGTTATCCAGGGTTAATACCCAAGTTGGGCATGGTAGATAGCTTATTAACAGAAAGGGTGGGGGATGGTCACCTCTGTTGGTATGATCACCCCTAACCTCCTCTCCTCCAGGCTGAGCAGTGCCCGGGTGTAGCCCCAAGTGTGTTCAACAGTCATCCACGCCACTATATGATCTGCCCAAATAATCTGCACAGTCCTTACTGTGAGCTCAGTTCTCACTGCAGTGACCAGCCCCAGGCAACCATGGAGCTCCAAGTGATTACCCAGAGACCCAGATACATCCTGCTACCTCTCATGTAGCCACTGAGTCACTCCTCCCAGCCAGGCTCAAAATCAGTGGGGACTGCGGATTTTTCCCCTCGCTGGAATCTCTGGATCACAGGTATACACAAGAGCCACTGGCCAAGTGTTGCTGTCTTCCCGCCACTGCTGCCAGTACCGCTGAGGAGATGGTATCCTATCTCAGCCACTTGCTGTGCGCAGGCATAAAGGCCTCCCCAGCTGCTGCCCAAACCCAAACTGGTACCTGCCTGTTCTTAACCAGTCAGCAGACACTGTTGTGGGGAGGTTGGCCTGAGATAAACGTGCCCTGTCTACTTTCACTGGGTCTGCAGGGAACCTCTAGCAACTGCTAGTGCCCCAGGGCTCCAGTCCAGACTCACTCCATGCTCTCCCTCCGCCTATAATACCACAAGTTGCTGCAGTCCAAAGCCAGGAGCCAGATGCCTCCTCTTGGTCTCCCATGGGGTGCAGGACCCAGGGACCTGGGCCATCCTCCACTGTACTCTGGGGCCACAGCAGAGAGCTGGACTGGAAGAGGAGCAACCGGGACAGAACCGGCGCCCCAGCCGGAACTAGAACCCTGGAGTGCCGGCACCGCAGGTGGAGGATTAGCCTAGTGAGCCGCGACACCGGCCTTGCAGTCCAGTCTTAACTCCGTCTCCAAACTGCTGCCCCTTCTGGCTTTTGGCTGCTGCAGTTGTGTGTTGTGTCCATGTTTGTGCTGCATGTCTGCACCTTCCACACAGGTCCATGCTTTTTCTATTGCTGAGATGTTTATACAGTTTTTACTTGTTAATATTCTGAGGGAGATAAGATAGACTGCAGAACTCCGCTTGCAGCTGGAGAGAGTGCGGTTTTAGTTCTTTCTATGCTCAGGAAGAAACCAACAGCAGCTGGCGCTGCGGCTCAATAGGCTAATCCTCTGCCTTACGGCGCCGGCACACCGGGTTCTAGTCCCGGTCGGGGCACCAGATTCTGTCCCGGTTGCCCTTCTTCCAGGCCAGCTCTCTGCTGTGGCCCAAGTGCTTGGGCCCTGCACCCACATGGGAGACCAGGAAGAAACACCTGGCTCCCTGCTGTGGCCCGGAAGTGCAGTGGAGGATGGCCCAAGTGCTTGGGCCCTGCACCCACATGGGAGACCAGGAGAAACACCTGGCTCCTGGCTTTGGATCAGCTCAGTGCGCTGGCCGCAGTGCGCCAGCCACAGCACGCCGGCCGCAGCAGCCATTGGAGGGTGAACCAACGGTAAAGGAAGACCTTTCTCTCTGTCTGTCGCTCTCTCTCACTGTCCACTCTGCCTGTCAAAAAATAAAAACCAACAGCAGGCATTGATTTCCCACTGTCTTCTCACTAAGTCCGCACTTCCATTCAGACTTTACCCTCCCAGAGGTGGTGAGCTGTCCTCCTCTTTCTGTGGTAAAGGAATCCCAAGGAATGCATAGCCCCATCCACTCCCAGAACTAGGTGGTTAAGTAAAAGTCTCTTTGGTTGGAGCTGTAGAAGTTGTGGTGTTACATCTTTGTAAACAAAGATGTAAAAAAATCTTTCAGGAAGGATCTATAGACCTAGAATTGTCACTAGAGTAAGCTACAGGTGAGGGTTTGAGAAGTACCTAGTTCTCATCTGGCTCTGTTTGTACCCAGTAACTACCCTGTGCAAGTTAATTAGAAGCCAGGCCATTAAGTAGCCACTAAAAGAAGGTGCAGCAAAATTCCTTCCAGAGAGAAAGTGGGGGCATTTTAACCCTTTCTCTGTACTTCCCCAAGGGGTATAGTTACTAGAAGTGCTTATATGCCCATTTAAAAGCACCTGTTAGAGGAGGGTGCTGTGGCTCAGTGGGTTAAGCTGCTGCTTGCTTGTGATGTCTTCATCACATAAACCAGAGGGCCTGAGTTCAAGTTCTGGCTCCATTCCTGATTCCAGTTTTCTGCTAATGTGTACCCTGGGAAGTAGCAGATACTGGCTCAAGTAATTGGGTCTCTGTCATCATGTGGGAGACCCAAGTTGTGTTCCCAGCTCCTGGTTTAAACCTGGTCCAGCCTCGACTGCTGTGGGCATTTAGGAAGGGAACTAGTGGATAGGAGATCTCTGTCTCTGTCTTTCAAATAAATGAAAGGAGAAAAAAATCTACCATTTCGTTCTGTGGTCTAGGGAGGTGTATATGCCTAATCCCTTATGCTTCTAGAGCTAAATGAATTAAGCAACAAAATGTAGAGAACCATAGAGCTAGGGTTCCATTTGTGTTGTCCAAACTGTTCTCTCCTCAACCAGATGCTAAATCTTGGGGAATCGTTCCTAACTGTAAAGCTCAATGCTTAGAGTGGGATGTACCCAAGTGTGCCTTAGCTTTTCCTACCTAGTTGATGTGGATTTTTTTTTTTTTTCAGTTTCCTGGTGTATACGAGTTTCACCTTGTTTCTGGCTTTCAGGGAATTGTTTTCTGTGTTGGAATTTATTTGGTGCATTTATTAGTGGAGGATTTCACTGATATCACTCCACTCCCTAATGACTAGTCTTCTAAGATGAAATGGTTGGGATTACCAAAGTACAAATTGTATTGCATAACTTCTGTTGATTCTATCTTTTCTTTTAGCTGGGATCTTTGTCTAGAGGTCAGTTGGAAGCTCCAAACTATTTAGAAGACCCTGCCAGCCAGAAGGTCATTAGTCCTGTCCATAATGAAGTTATTTGCTCAGGAAAAACAGATATTTTATGGAAGAACTGTGAGTTTCTGGTAAATCGAATGTGCCATCTAGAAAGCCTCATCCAGTCCTTGAAGATGAATATTTTTCGTATGCAAACTGAAAAGGATTTGACTCCACAGAAAACAGGTATTTAAAGAAGAAAATCATCAGAAATCTGTTCCATGATAGTACTTTATAAGCTTATGATTCTTTTCCTTTCCTGACCTTTTTTCCACCATTTGATGCTCTTCCTTTGCTGTCCGGTAGCTTTTCTGAAGGATCGACTTAATGTAATACAGGAGGAGCATTCCAAAGACTTGAAGCTGTTGCATCTTGAAGTGATGAATTTGCGCCAACAACTGAGAGATGTAAAAGAAGAAGAAGATAAGGCACAAGATGAAGTACAAAGGCTGACTGCCACTCTGGAAATTGCCTCAGAGACAAAGGTTTGAGACCAGAGTTCTGAACTACAAACTCAGTGTTCTATATTAGCTGGCAGAGAGAACAATTTCAAAAAACTGACTTGTAAAGATAGGTAATGTTAAAAAATGTCTGTTCTTGGGATTAGGCATATATCTATGTTGATAACCTAGACTACTGGGTGCTATCAGTAATTGTTTATGGAACCCTTACTCTGTATAAGGGATAAGGGTCCAGAGATAGAGCCTGTGCCTTTCAAGTGCTTGTAAGCTGATAAAGAGCACAAGACATAACTTGAGAAACATAAAAATAACAGCATGGGAAATGTTACAGGCTCAATAAGTTACTCAATAAGTGAATATTGCAGAGTAAGGGCTTTGTATTCAGATGTATTTTTTTAGGTGAGGATGCCTATCTAGTATAGATTAGGTAGGCTTCAGAAAAAAATTAAAGGACTTGGATTGAACCTTTAAAAGGTGAAGTGGAGGACTGAGGGCATGTCAAGGAGGAGACACAGAGGCAGCAAAGACTAGGACTACTGGAAAAGAAATTAACACTATCATTTTCCTTCCATGGGCCAAGCAGCACATCAGGTATTCAAAGTGGGTTTTTCTTTTTTAATTTTCATTTATTTGAGAGAGAGAGAACTTCTCTTCACTGGTTCACTTCCCAAATGCCTGCAGCAGCTAGCGTTAGTCCAGACCATAGCCCAGAGTTGGGAATTCAGTTGGGATCTTCCACATGGGTGGCAGATACCCAAGTACTTGAATTTGGTTCTGCGGCCTCCCTGGTTTCACATTAGCAGCAAGGTGGAATCAGGAGAGGAGCTGGAACTCCTACTAAGTGGTGTCTTAGCTGCTGTGCCCAATGCCCACCCTCAAAGAACTATTTTGCTTAATGTTTGCAAAATCTATTAGGATATTATTGCTGCTAATTTTAAAAACATTTATTTACTTGAAAGGGAGAGTTACAGAGAGGCAGTGGCAGAGAGAGGTTGGAGGAGGGGTCTTCCATTTGCTGGTTCACTCCCCAAAAGGCTGGAGCTGTGCTGATCCTAAGGCAGGAGCCAGGACCAGGAGCTTCTTCCAGGTCTCCCACACGGGTGCAGGGGCCCAAGGACTTGGGCCATCTTCTACTGCTTTCCCAGGCCATAGCAGAGAGCTGGATCAGAAGTGGAACAGCCAGGACTGGAACCAGTGCCCATATGGGATGCCAGCACTGCAGGTGACGGCTTTACCCACTATGCCACAGTGCCAGCCTCATTCTGTTTTTAACAATAAGAGTACTGGGGCCCAAAGCAAAGTCATTTGTCCTAGATCACACATGCCAATCTTCTTCCTATAACCTAAACTTGAACCTAGATCTTTCCAATGGATGCAACTGTGGACTATCCTGACAAGAGTGAGAATTGGTGGGGAAATAAGTTAGATATTACCTAGAAATTCTATTGTAAAGTACCTCAAAATCAAGAATAATCAATAGTTACGATTCATCCTATTGAGCATGGTTGATTTTTATTTTTTATTATTTTTTTTTAATTATTTGTTTTGACAGGCAGAGTGGACAGTGAGAGAGACAGAGAGAAAGGTCTTCCTTTTCCGTTGGTTCACTCCCTAGTGGTTGCTGCGGCCAGCGTGCTGCGGCCGGCGCACTGCACTGATCCGAAGCCGGGAGCCAGGTGCTTCTCCTAGTCTCCCTTGCGGTGCAGGACCCAAGGACTTGGGCCATCCTCCACTGCACTCCCGGGCCGCAGCAGAGAGCCGGCCTGGAAGAGGAGCAACTGGGACAGAATCCGGCACCGCAACCGGGACTAGAACCCGGGATGCCAGCGCCGCAGGCAGAGGATTAGCCTATTGAGCCGCGGCGCCAGCCAATGGTTGATTTTTAATGTAGAAATGACAATGAAAACAGTAAAACTAATTTGACAGTATTATACAGCATCAATTACAGAAGAGGTTTAGGAATTCATTGAATTATCTGAGTCGTGAGCTGCCCTTTCCTAGGGATGTGGCATTTTGAAAGGAAAGGGGTGTTCTGTGAAGAAAGATGGTAGTGGGCTGAAGGCAGAAAAGACAAAAACAGTTCTAAGGTTTACATCTGGAAATTATGCCATTAGTAATAAAAAAGAATAAGGAATCAAAGCTGTGTTTTTCATCTCAACTCCTAAGCATGAATAATAATTGAAGTTAGAAGAAATAAAGTTCTTAGAAAATAGGGGAATGTATGTATACTCTGTAGGAAAAATGTCTGTTACCGACTTGTCCTCTAATTATTGGATTTTACCTAGGACGTGGGTGAGATTATTTACTACACTACTGTCTAAAAGGAGAAATGACAGAAATCATAAATAAAAGCCATTGTAATAATCCTGCCAGACATGTTTTTACATATAACCTTATTAAAAATAGCATGTGTAAGTTGTTAAGAAAAAAAAACCCTTGGTTTGAGCTGATATTCCTATAGATGATTTCTTCCTGTCATTTCAGATTATTTAGAACCTTTTCTCCTTCTACTTTTAGAAGAATGCAGCCATTATTGAAGAGGAACTGAAGACCACAAAACGTAAAATGAACCTTAAAATTCAGGAGGTAAGACAAAATGATGCTGGAAGGTGAAAGAAGTATTAAAATTGCAGAGGGGGAAACTAAGTAGAAAATGAAAAACTTTTGAAGAAGAAACTATGTGACTGTGGACCAGGAAGACTTCAGACTATGGCATGTATAATTCAAGTGATAGTAATTGCCTTTATATGACATTTATATTTCCCTTTGCCTCAATACTCCTATAAAACTAAAAATAAAAAATAAAAAGCTGTGTGAACCATGAGGGATAAGTTACCACATGTAGTTGCCTATATTCAAGTGATTGCCCATATACTACATTTAAGTTTCATGAAAAGGCCTTTGAATCCAAAGCGGTGTTTTAAAAACATTTAGGGGACAGGCATTTGGCCTAGTGGTTAAGACACTGGTTAAGACTCTCATGTCCCATATTGGAGTGTCTGAGTTAGATTTCCAGCTTCTGCACCTCACTCCAGTCTCCTGCTAATGTGGACCTTGGGAGGCAATGGTGATGGCTCAGGTAGTTGGGTTTCTGCCACCCCCATGGGAGACCTGAATTTGAATTTCAGTCTCCCAGTTTTGACCCTCTAGCCCAATCCACAGCCAGTGTGGCATTTGGAGAGTGAACCAGCAGTTGAGAGTGCACGCTGTCAAATAAATTAAAAAAAAAAAAAGCTTTTGGGCTAATTCTGCTAATTTAATTTTATCTGGAAACTTATACTTCAGCATAAGTTTTGGGAATTAGGAAGTGTGTAGTTGTTAAAAGTTGTTAGGCTAGAAATTTACAGCTGAAAACAGTGGGAAAATCAAAGAATTACTAATTCAATTTATGCTAACTACAACCTAAAAACCTCAATATTCTGTGGCAGCATAGTAACTGATATAGTTCAAAGCAAAAGAATCAAATTAAGTTTAAAACAGAGATGAGCATGCTTTTAAGGAAAACTATTATGCAAAACTGTTTTGAAAATTGGTAAGCATGGCTATCTGGAAAATAATGCTATGTAGAATACTGTTTTTGCCAGTAGTTACTGATAAGAGCATGGTTGTTCATAGTTAGGATAGATGAAGTTTAAAAAAAAAAACACTTTTAATAGACTATTTTTAGAGTTGGAGAGTTTTGGATTACAGAAAAATTACAAAAGACAATTATCTTATACCCATTCTACCCTACCCACAGTTTCTCTTATTACTAAGGTCTTGCATGGATGTGGTATTTTTTACATCTGATAAACCAGTATTGATACATAATCTAATTAAAGTACACAGTTTATACTAAGACTCACTCTTTGTGCTGTACAGTTGTGTGGGGTTTTATAAAAGCATGATGCCATGTATCCACCATTACATAGGAGCTCAGGGAGTAGTTCCACTGCCTTAATGATGCCCTGAGCTTCAAATACTCATCCCTCCCTGTCTCTTTCCCTTATCCCTGATAGCCGCTGATCTTTTCATTATCTTTATGTAGATTTGAATTCACACTCTAATATCAGATGCAGACATCACAAGCTGAAGCTTTACCCACTGCACCATAACACCAACACAAACTTCAGTAAAGTCTAACCAACTGTTGTTTTTCATGGATTTAGTTTTGGTGTCATATCCAAAAAGTCATCAACAAACCCAAGTCTAGGTTTTCTCTTAAATACCTTTTAGAAGTTTAGTTTTGCATTTAAGTCTTTGATTCTTTTAAGTTAATTTTTGTAAAAGATGGAAGGTTTTTGTATGCATATGGATTTCCAGTTCGTCTAGCACAGTTTGGTGAAAAAACTACGCTTTTGCTGTTGGATTGCAACTTAGCATTATTTTTTGTTGGAAAAGTCTTATTTGCAGGTTTTAAAAAGATTGTTATTTATTTGAGAGAAAGAGAGCTATAGCAAGCGAGAGAGAGAAAGGTCTTCTATCCATTGGTAAACTCCCCAAATGGCTCCAATAGCAAGGGGTAATCTAGACCAAAGCCAGGAGCTTGCAGCTCCATCTGGGTCTCCCACATGGGTGGAAGGGGTACAAGTACTTGGGCCATTTTCTGCTGCTTTCTTAGGCTCATCAGCAGGAGCAGGATCAAAAGTGGAATAGCAGGGACTTGAACAATTGCTCCAATTTGGGATGTTGGAGTTGTAGACATTAGCTTAGGTCACTGTGACACAATGCCAGCCCCTTGTTCTTGATTTTTGCAGAGCTGCAGAAAGACTATACTAAGTCAATTAGACATTTTGAGGAAATGTGGAGCAGGAAGGGTGTGTTATTTGCTGGGCTGCTGTAATGAAGTCCAATACAATGAATGGCTTCATCAGAAATTTCTCATGGTTCTGGAGGCTAAGAAATTCAGTATCCAAGTGTTGGCCAATTGGGTTTCTCCTGAGATCTTCCTCCTTGGCTTGCAGAGGGATGCCTTCTTGCTGTGTCCTCACATGCCCTTTTCTATGTGTATATACATCCCTGTTGTCTGTGAAATGTCTTCTTAGAAGTCCACCACTAGAGAGATTGGATTAGGGCCTACCCTAATGGCCTGATTTTAACTTAAATCACTTCCTTAAAGGTGATTTAAAGGTGAGGTACTGGGTTTTAGGCTTTAGCTTAAGAGTTTTGGGGGGATAAAATTAAAGTCTTTAACAGAAAACTATAGAGACACTATACAGAGACTATACAGAGACTGAGTAAATATGGCAAATAATTTCCTAAGCGATAAATTATTTTATATTCTGATATATGTATTATGTATCACATTATATCAGATTTGTATCCATTAAATATTAAACATGGACTGATTTCCCTTAATAAAGTACTGCAGAAATGAATGTCTCAGTGTTATAATTATCAAAGATTCTCCTTGTGAAGCCTTTTTGTATATTTTATGAATGCCATGTATAAAAGAGACAATTGTCTCTTTATAAGGATGGCTAGCTAAATCCTTTCAATTCTAAATAATAAGAATGATAAAAACTTTTCAAAAAAGTAAAGTGTCTAATTCTGGTTGAACTAAGATTGAATCACATTGACTGATGCAGCTATAACACAAATGAGATGATTTCATGAAGAAGAGCTCTGGATCTTTCCAGAAACAAATTATCTTGAACAAGTTATATTTTATTTTGATCCAGGGCTTAGAAAAGTATACTGGGGCCAGTGCCATGGCATAGTAGGTTAAGCCTTTGCCTGCAGTATTGGAATCCCATATGGAAACCAAGGCTCTGATCCAGTTCCCTGCTGTTGGCCTGGGAAACCTGGGGAAGCAGTGCTTGGGCCTCTGCACCCATGTGGGAAACCCGGAAGAAGCTTCTGGCTCCTGACTTCTGATTGGCCCAGTTCTGGCTCTTGCAGTCATTTGGGTAGTGAAACAGCTGATGGAAGACCTCTCTCTCTCTCTCTCACTCTCTCATTCTCTCACTCTCTCACTCTCTCACTCTCTCATTCTCTCATTCTCTCATTCTCTCTCTCTAACTGTGCCTTTCAAATAAATCTTTTTTTAAAACAGTATATTAAACTACTCTATGATAGGATGATTATAATATACTAGAAAAGACATAAGTGAGAACTATGGTTTATTCTTACATAAGATTGTAATATTTAACTTATCCTTGAATGAGTAAGGTATTCTTTTAAGTTTGAAAACAAGAAGTAAAATTATTAAACTCAGTAGATTAGCCACATAAAAATTTAAAACTTCTATATGTAAAAATCAAAATAAAACATCATAATAAAACTTACCTGACTTTCCACCCACACTCGCCCCTCCCCCCCCCTTTTCCAGTCCCATTCTCCATTAAGATTCATTTTCAATTAAGTTTGTACACAGAAGACCAATTCTATACTAAGTAAAGATTTCAACAATTTGTATACACACACACACACTGAGAACAAATATCTCAGTTAACTTTCATAATACAACTCATTGAGGACAGAGGTCCTGCATGGGGAGTTAGTGCACAGTGACTCCTGTTGTTAATTTAACAATTAACATTCTTATGTATGACATTAGTGACCACCCAAGGCTCTTGACATGAGCTGACTAGGCTATGGAAGAATGTATTTTTCATTTATTAAACTAGAAAAGACAAAGAGATAACTCATGCTGCTGGTAAGAATTCTTCAAATACTACTGCCAGGAAGAAGAATATTAGAATGAAAAGTATAATATGTATCTAAAATCTAAAAAATGCTTATACCTACAATCTAGTGATTCATCTTGTAGGATTTTTTTTTGAAGAGGCAGCTCTTTTATTAGAAATCAAAACAATAGCAAACCATATTTTTTTCCTAAGATTTATTTATTTATTTGAAAGTCAGTTACACAGAGAAGGAGAGGCAGAGAGAAAGAGGTCTTCTGTCCACTGGTTCACTCCCAAGATGGCTGCAATGGCCAGAGCTTCACCAATCCGAAGCCAGGAACCAGGAGTTTCTTCCAGGTCTCCCACACGGGCACAGGGGGCCCAAGGCCCTGGGCCATCTTCTACTGCTTTCTCAGGCCATAGCAAAGAGTTGAATTGGAAGTGGAGCAGCCAAGACTCAAACCGGTACCCATATGGGATGCCGGCACTGTAGGCAGTAGCTTTACCCACTATGCCACAGTGCCAGCTTCTCAAACCGTATTTCAAAGTTCATTTTTATTGGATACTTAGCTGTGAGGGTCCTTTAAAATTCTGTGAAAACTAGAATTAAAATATAAGTTTATTTTGGTGCAAAAGAATTTGAAAGCAATACATATAAATGCTCATTAAAAAATCATGGAGGGGCCAGTGCTGTGGCGTAGCTGATAAAGCCTCTGCCTGCAGTGCCGGCAATCCCATGTGGGTGCAAGTTTGAGTCCCAGCTGTTCCACTTCTGATCTAGCTCTCTGCTATGGCCTGGGAAGCAGAAGATGGCCCAAGTCCTTGGGTCCCTGTACCTGCGTGGGAGACCAAGAGGAAGCTCCTAGCTCCTGGCTTCAGATTGGCAGCAGCTCCAGCCATTGTAGTCATCTGGATGGTGAACCAGCAGATGGAAGACTTGCTCGCTCGCTCACTTTCTCTGCCTCTGCCTCTCTCTAACTCTGCCTTTCAAATAAATAAATCTTTAAAGTAAAATAGTAGAGAACATGTATTAGGAAAAAACTGTGAATAGATTCCAAATTGTTTTGTGTATGCCAAAATAAACATTTTAAATTTCATTTTTCCATAAACTTTTTGAAATATCCTATATAATATGTGCCTGTTACTTAGTCTTTTATATACAGCATGTGGGTTATCATCATGGGGACCCTTAGAATTAAGTCAACCCCTGGCTGATATAATTTGTATCTGGAATTTTTAAAAGGTGAAATTTTGAGTAATTTCATTAATGTATTTTGCTCAGGAAACATTTCTTTTTTGTTTATCTTCTTATTTGAGAAAAATAGCTCCTTGACTGTAACCATTATTTAGCCTAAGTGTCAAGTGTTAAATACATGATATTATATTATGGATGTTTAAAACTCATATTTTCTTTTTAATTTTTTAACTTACTTTGAAAGAGTTAGAGAGGGGAAGAGACATAGAGTGATCCTCCATCTGCTGAATCAGTCCACAGATGGCAATGGCCAGCAGTCAGCCAGACTGAGGCTGGTAGCCAGGAACTTCATGTGAATCTTCCATATAGATGGTAGGAGCCAAACACTTGGGCCATCTTCCACTACTTTTCTCAGGCCATTAGCAGGAAAGTGAGTTGGAAGTCAAGCAGCCAGGACTCAAACTGGTGCCCACAGAGGATGCCAGTATCGCAGGTGGCTGCTTTACCTGCTATGCCACAATGCTAGCCACCCCCCTTTTCTTAAAGATTGATTTACTTATTTTGAAAGTTAGAGTTACAGAGGGAGAGAGTGAGAGCTTTGTTTCTTAAGGTATTTATTTATTTATTTTGACAGGCGGAGTTAGACAGAAAGAAAGATCTTCCTTCTGTTGGTTCACCCCCCAAAATGGCCATTAAGGCCGGTGCACTGCGCAGATTTGAAGCCAGGAGCTAGGTGCTTCCTCCTGGTCTCTCATGTGGGTGCAGGGCCCAAGGATTTGGGCCATCCTCCACTGCACTCCCTGGCCACAGCAGAGAGCTGGCCTGGAAGAAGAGCAACCGGGACAGAATCTGGCGCCCTGACCGGGACTAGAACCCGGTGTGCCGGTGCTGCAGGCAGAGGATTAGCCTAGTGAGCCGCGGCGCTAGCCTCTTAAGGAATTTATTAATACATTAGATTCTCAGGGACATAGCAAATGCATGATAATTACTACAACAGGATACTCATCAATTCTCATATTAATGTGATATTAATACAAAGAGAACAGATTGAGTATAGTTTATAGATACAGTTCTAAGAATATAATGATATCTCCCTTCCTCCTTTATCCTAAGAAAGTAATCAGAAATGTGATGAAAGATTGACAGACATATTGGGTGAAACAATATTCAGAATAGTGAAAATTGCTAAGCACTTATATGTCCAATATCAGGAATATGATTAAGAAAATCAGTATTTCCAAATTGAGCTATCTTGTAGCAATTTCATTCTAACACATTTTTTTAAAGATTTTATTTATTTGAGAGATAGAGTTAAAGTGAGAGGGAAAGACAGAGAAAAGGTCTTCTTTGTGCTGGTTCACTCCACAGATGGCTACAATGGCGGGAGCTGTGCTGATCCGGAGCCAGGAGCTTCTTCCTGGTCTCCCATGTGGGTGCAGGGGCCCAAGCACTTGGGCCATTTCTACTGCTTTTCCAGGCCATAGTAGAGAGCTGGACTGGAAGAGGGGCAGCCAGGACTAGAACAGGTAGAGGATTAACCTGCGCCACGGCACCGGCCCCCTAACACATTTTTAATCTTTTTTAATTTCAAAAACACTTAAAAATTATAAAATTATATAAATTTTCATCAATAGAACATGTAAAATATGTGTACAATTTAGAACATAGTTACAAGGTATACTCTGTCATCTTCACTGTTTTTTTTTTAAGATTTGTTTTATTTATTTGAAAGAGCTACAGAGAGAGAGGTAGAGCCAGAGAGAGAGGACTTCCATCTGCTAGTTCACTCCCCAGATGACCACAATGGCCAGAGCTAAGCTGATCTGAAGCCAGAGGCCAGGAGCTTCTTCTGGATCTTCGACCTGGATGCAGGGGCCCAAGCACTTGGGACATCATCTGCTACTTTCCCAGGACAAAGCAGAGAGCTGGATTAGAAGTGGAGCAGCTGGAACTTGAACTAGCGCCCATTTGAGAAGCTGGTGCTGCAGATCAGGGCTTTAACCCACTGGTACCATAGCACCAGCCCCTTCACTGGGGTTTAAAAACAGAATTTCTGTTTGCTATCATGTCATAAAAGGAATAGAATTATTTTCAGTATAATTTATGTAAGTTGTATTGGAACTCTTTGCTTCATAAAGAAAAAATCCCAACCTTTATATCTTCATCTGATTCATTTTATAGTCTTTTATTTACAGTAGTAATATCAATGTACCTCATAAATAGGAAACAAAAACTAAGTGTGTCTTCCTTTTTCTTACATACAGTTTAACATGACACTTCTGACACAGATGTGTAGAGATTCTGCATCAGACACCAGCAAGGTGTCTTCTAACTCAATTCTGTTATTGTCTACCTGGAGAAAAGCATTTGATCCTACAAGTTAAGGGCTCAGATTTCCTCACCCAAACTTCAGATGCCAATCACAAGTCCATATACATAAACATTTCATGAAGCAATATGTAACCTTACTATTGCAGTTGTTTTCTTTGAATTCTATTCTATCCTTTCCTTTTTCTAAGTGCTGCTTGCAGCTTACTGATGGGTCCTCACACCCAGTTTGGAGAACAGACTTGAGGGCAACAAATTTGACTACATTTCTTAAAAGGTTGTCCATCAGAGAGAAGCAGAATCATGTTTTGGTAAACTTGCTAGGGTGTTGTGATCTTTGTTAAGCTAGTATGATATTTAGCTGATTTTGCCTGATCACAGTGTTGCTCTATAGCTAAGGAGACAACTGGCTCAGGAGAAGCACATCAGAGAATCTCTTGAGAAATCTGGATCAGCCATGCTCCTCAAAATACAAGAAATGGGATCAACTGTGGAGGTGGAACGGAAACAGGTAGAAAGATTTCCTGTCGTTATTTCTATGAGGCAAATTAACCCCCAAAGGAAAAACATACGTTTTCTAAAGATTTAGAATTTTGCTTATTTCCTATGGATTAAGTTATTTGTTATTTTATGATAACCACTTAAAATTATTACTTCAGTTTTTTTAGAATTTGTGCAAAATAGAAAGGACTCTAATGTCATTTAATCCAAAACTCAATTTATAAATGAGGGAGCTTAGGGCCAGAGAGGTTCATTTTCTTCAGACTTTATAAAAGTAAACTCTTTGCTTCTAGCATAATTTTCCCCAGGGATGGGGAACATCCAGCCCAGTGATCACAAAAGCCCTGCCAAGGCAACCACAGGCAGGACTTGAAATTCAATAAATCTATAGCAGGCTAATTTTTAAGTTGATTGTTGTGTGTGACCTGTAAATTATGTTATTAATATCCAAATAGACCTTGGCCGAAAAAAACTTCCCTACCCCTATCCTGTACTATATAATCTCTGCAGTAGGCATTGATTTTTGAAGATATTGCCTTGGTTTTGTGCTATACATATAAAGAAAATAAAGATTTGAAATAAGGAATATCAATAAGTAAGATAATCAGGAATATGTATACTGTTATTGATCATCATTATTTTACACAATATTTTTGCTTTCATTATAGGTGTTATTTGAAAGACCCACATAAATCAATATTTTTATATTTTAATACCTATAATTGGATTACATAATTTTTCTATTTTAACTAATGATTGTCATTAACAACTGAAATATAAAAAGGATTCGACTTAATGGAATTTGCAAATGATCCTTTATTACTATCACTTATAGTATAGTATCATATACTGCCAGTATGGTAGCCATGAGACACATACGGCTATTTAAACTTAAATTAGTTAAAATTTGAGATTCTGTTTTGCACTCTGGCTGCATTTCAAGTGTTCAGTAGCCAGTTCTGATTAGTGATTGTTAAGTTGGAGAGTGCACATAAGTTCTATTAGCATTACTGTAAACATTAGATTGTGTTGATATATTAAATGTTACGTTTCCTTCTCTGTTCCCCTCAGTGATGTTAAAACTGAAAATTCTGCCTTATGCATGTTGTAAAAGGTAGTTTATTAGAATCTTTATCTTACAGAAAATGAATTTTTCTTATACAATTTCAGGTGCACATTTTGCAGCAAAACTGTATTGCCCTTCGTGGTTCTATACAGAGCACCCAAGAACTCCTGGTACAGGAGCAACAAAAGAAAGGACAGTTGGAGACTGCTACTTCACAGCTCAAGTTTGATCTAAGTATGAAAAAAGATGCTAGAAATTACACTTTTATAGCTTTTTGAGATGATGTGCATAAAAACCTCTTAAGATCTCAAACGCTTGAAGTTGTCAGTGTTATTTCCCAGTCCTGAATTTAAAAAAAAAAAAAAAAAGTGCAAAAAAAATGCTGATTTCCTTTACCTGTAGCACTGAGACAAAAAGGAATTTGGTAATGAAATAGAATTTGGTGCTCTAATTGGAAACTATTCTTTTTTTCCCCTGATTTATTTGTTTGTAGATTTGGGAACATTTGGTTTCTGGAAATCTGTAATGAATATTGGATGAAATTAATACAGCTATTAATAAGACTAATAATCCTTGCTAACTGTCGCTCCCCCAGTCATGGAGGAACGACACAGGACCCTGCACTGTTCTTTTGTCTGCTCGGCCCTTCCCGGGTTTGCTGCTGGTTCTTCCCGGGTTGGCTGCCGAACCTTCCACCTCTGCGGAAGGGCAACTCCCCCTGCCACTTTCCCCACTTCCGCGGGGGAGCGGCACACCACCGGCCGGCTCTCTCGGGGGCTGCTCAGATGTTATCTGGATGTTCCTGGTGCATGTTGTCTCTCTCCTCCTTTATAGTCCTCTTCCACCAGTCCCAACTCTGCTACCCACACGCCGAGTACGCTGCTCTCCTCCAATCAGGACCAGGATCAGCTCCTGCAGGTTATTGGTCGAACTGGAGGCAGCTGTGTAGAAGTTGTTTACTCCTCTCCCAGCGCCATATTGTGGGAGAGCAGATGCATAGAATAAGTCTTAATTCCAGTAACTTAGTCTAGTCTGAGTTGCTCCCCACAGCTAACTGTTGTTTCTGTAAGTTCATCATGTCAGACTATTCACTCTTCAGGTTATCAATCTATTGTATAGTTTATATTTGTAGAAATAGATGGTTATAAGGCTATCTTCAAGATAACTTAAGGTTAATCTCCTCATTATATAGATGAGTCCTCAAAATGGCAAATCTAGAAAATGGAAAACCTGGACTTGGTCTCAAGCTGCTCCAAGTTGTGTTTTGATCAACCCATCAGCCCATTATCATATTACTACTTGTTAACATGTCATTGTAAAGCAGTTTTCACACAATCTCAACTACAGAGATTACAGAGAGTTATATCATATGGTGCTCACATGATTAGCACTCCATGGGTGATGTAGAGCTTTCATGTAATACAGTTATCCATACTTCCCAGAGTTACAAAAGGAAAAACTGGTGAAGTGGATCCCAACCCTGATCTTCCAATTCCATGCCCAGTGTGTTTTTTTCTAGTTGCTTCCTCTGTTCTGTGACTGTGGGATCAGGGAATACCAAAAGAGAAATAAAAATTAAAAAGAAAAAATAAAATAAAGAGTATTCTATTCACTGCATTCTATTCTAACATCTATTCAATGTTTTGATTTCCTGCTTTTGGCAGAAGATACTGTAGTCTTTGTTTTATAGTTGGTGAATAGTGAATTACTAAGTGCCTTTCTTGTTAACAATGCCTCCAAAATAATTTCCTATTTTTGCACATGCCTGAAAAAAGACATTCCATTTTATGGTGTTTCCACACTCTCCCATTTGAACCTTACAACATCCTTGTCTGAAAGATAAAAGAATTTTCCTATTCTATAGATAAATAGAAAGATGTGTACTCAATAGGGAAATTGTACCTAAGGAGCCACAGCAAATATTATAGGACTAAAACACACATCTTTTTGTATTATTTGACCCTCAGATTGAGTATTTTATGTTACTTTCTCATTTGATTAGTGCAAGTTTTTAAATTTTGTGAATAATACATGGAAGACCATTAAAAGTGAAGATTAAAACAGCTAATTCAAACTAGAAATAGGAAAAGGAATTGGAATACCAATTATTGCCTAAAATTGAATTATAAGTTCTATACCATGCAATTTTATTTAAGATATAGTTATTCTAGCTAGATTAATAAAAATGCTTTTGAATATTTGCTTCAATAAATTAAAACATGTAATTGTTTATTAAACTTACAATAAACAGTTGTATGCTATTCATTATTTAAAGTGATTACAATGTTCTCCCAAGTGATGAAAATACTCCCTTGTGATCCTCACTTTGATTAGTAGAACTGTTAAAATAGATCATCTACTTTGTCTTTTTGACCCTTCACATATTTTAAACTAGAGTTCAACAAGTTGTAGATTTAAGTGTTCAGTAAGTAAGTATGGTTTTTCTATCTTGTATAAAATGTGAGCTTCATTTGTTTTGTAATTTTTATTTGGTTGCCCTGTAGATAAATCAAAACACACAAGAAACTTAAGTACTTCATACATTCTCACTTATTCCATCCCCTAAACCTGTTCTTTGCCCCGCTTTCCTCCTCTATTTGAAGAATCTACCCTGATATCTGTCTGCATTCTCCTTGATTCACTTGTTGCTTTTATCCCACCATAAGCCACTAAGTCCTGACAGTCCTCTTTCATGTTTCAAATTCCATTTTCCCTGCATCCCCATTGTCGATTCTGATGAAAAGTCAGCCCTCCATTGTTTTACACATCAGTTTCTGCAACAACCACTAAGCTAACCTCCCTGCCTTTACTGAACCTTTCTTTGTTAGCACAATCTAACAACAACAACAGAAATGCTTGGTCATGTCTCTCCATGGTGAAAAGTCCCTCAAAGAATCATCAGCTAAATCTTGAGTTAAATGTGATATCATTGACCATTGCATGGACTGCAGACCGAGTTTCTTGATAATTCCACAACTTAATTCCAGTCTGTAAAATATGATAGGAATACTTGAGTCCTCCTTATTGCTACAAATAGACTTAAAAAAAAAGTTAAGCTTTCTTGGGAAAAAATATCTATGATTTCAATGTAGTAAATTATTTATTATTATCATAGTTATGTGGTCTTTTTGTTTTTAGTTTCTAGAGATGATCTCATTTCGAAGTTGGTCGAAGAAAATAAGGTAAGTTTCCAGGTTGTGAAGTACAGAGGTAGACTTTCTTTACTAAGCTATATTTCCTTGTTCTTGATTTATAGCACTGATTTTCCTAAAAATTTACTTGAAAAAAATTTTGCTTAAATGAGTTATTCAGGGTAATACTGGCTATTAAGAACTAAGAAATGATTTTATGCAGGTTATTATAGTTTGAAAAAGGTGAATTGACAGAAATAACCTTATTTATTTGCATATTTCAAATTAATTTTTATAAATTAAACTTTAAAATGAATATAAGAAATCAAAATGCTTTCTGATGGTAGTGATTGTTAGGAAAAGAGTGCAGATTGGTGCCTCCTCACATGAGGCTCCAAAATATTAGGAAAAGAAGTGTAGAACAGAGAGGAGACAGAATACGAATTCGCAGCCAGACTGAATTTATTGTGAGAAAATAAATCCACAGAGGTCGACCAATTGCCATCATGCTCATAGACCGAACATGTGGCAGAGGCCTCACCCTAGCAGCTAAAATATCCTAGGTGGGCTAGGGATGGAGGTGGGAGGGCAGTAGGTGGAGATGAGCTTCTCCATACTGGTTCTTCAGGTTTGGCCTACTGGCTTCTAAACCTGGGGAAGAATACAGTGTGTGAGACAGAACAGATCTCTTGAAAGAAGGCAGGGGTAACAAGAAACCTAAAATTGATATCGAGATTGGCCTCCTAAAATATGATATCAGAATTTGGCCCCCTATCAAAGAAGAAGGTACCTTTCTCTGAAGGGAGGAGAGAGAACTTCCACTTTGAATATGGTCTTGTCTAAACAAGATCGGAGTTGGTGAACTCAAGAGGCTTCCATAGCCTTGGCAGCTCATGACAAGAGCCTCAAGTGATTACTAACATCATAAATAAGAGTGTCAATTGTAAACAACGGGGATCAGCTGTGCAGCTACTCCCCATGTAGGATCTCTGTTCATAAAGTGTTGTACTATGCAAATTAACGGTAAAACTACTACTCAAACAGTACTTTATACTTTGTGTATCTGTGTGGGTGCAAACTGTTGAAATCTTTACTTAGTATATACTAAGTTGATCTTCTGTATATAAAGATAATTGAAAATGAATCTTGAAGAATGGGATGGAAAAGGGAGTGAGAGATAAGATGGTTGCAGGAGGGAGGGAGGTTATGGGGGGAAAAAGCCACTGTAATCCAAAAGCTGTACTTTGGAAATTTATATTTATTAAATGAAAGTTTAAAAAGAGAATTTGGCCCCCCAAAAGTTCCATCTGGGGTGCCGTATGAAATCGGAATATGGGGTGCCATACGATACCATGTGTGCTTATTAATAAATTCCCAATATTAATAAGCCTGTGTGGGTTCTTGCCTAATATTCAGAGAAGAATTCTGGATACTGGCAGCATGGTACATTTTAAGCTTTATTCAATGGAAAGATACATAGGAGAGTGAGGGCCCTATATCCATAGGACAGAGGTAAATCTGGGTTCATACCAAGTACCAGGAAACAGCCATGTAGAGGAGCATCTAGGCCAGGAAGCAGAGGACAGGTGGCCCAGGGCCACAGCAAGCCCCTGGGCAAAAGGCCAAAGCAAGGGAGGGAGAGAGGGGCGGACCCTCTGTGTCCCAGGCTTTTAATCCACTTTCAAAGGGGAGTTGTTAATTAGTCTGATTGGCCAGTGGGTGCAGAGGTGTGGCCAGGTAGGGGCATGAGGTCACACAGGGGCGTGGTGAAGGCGTGGTCTTCCAACTCACAAACCTAATCAATTTTATTCCATCTGCCTGCTTACATCAAAATGACTGAGGCTTATTTCCTTGTTCCATCAGTCATGGTGGCGGTTCCACATAGTGTGAATATATTTAATACCACTAAACTGTATACTTAGAAATGATTAGAATGATCAGCTTTATGTTACCTATGATATTGCTGAAAGTTCATGATAAATATATTTTTAAAATAATTTATTTTTATACATAGTTGAAAACCATGGGCCGGCGCCGTGGCTCATTTGGCTAATACTCCACCTGCGATGCCGGCACCTCAGGTTCTAGTCCCAGTTGGGGCGCCGGATTCTGTCCTGGTTGCTCCTCTTCCAGTCCAGCTCTCTGCTGTGGCCCGGGAAGGCAGTGGAGGATGGCCCAAGTGCCTGGGCCCTGCACCCGCATGGGAGACCAGGAGGAAGCACCTGGCTCGTGCCTTCACATTAGCGCAGCCTGCCAGCCGTAATCACCATTTGGGGGGTGAACCAACAGAAGGAAGACATTTCTCTCTGTCTCTCTCTCTCTGTCTAACTCTGTATGTCAAAGAAAAAAAAATAAAAATTAAAAAATAACAAAAATAGCAAGAATGCCTGCCATCATTCGGCCCCGGATTTTTTTAGAATGGCAACCCTTTGCTTCAGGAAAGGAGACATTTAAAAGGCAAATATTTGCTTGACATCATAATTACTTCCCTTTTTTTTTTTCCAAGTAAAAAGTTTGGGATTTTTACCATTTCTATTGAAATTTTATTTTGGGGTTTTTTTTAAAGGTCCAAAGTAAAGAAAAAAATTTTTCCCCCCACCATTTTCCCAGGGGGGGGAACCCCCAACAAGGGATCCTTTTATTCCTTTTGGGAGGGGGAAAAATAGCAAGTTCCTCATTTCGAATGAAAGGAGGGGGATAAGAACCCCCCGGTTGCCTGCATTGGGGGGGTGGGCTTTCTTAACCCCAGGAATCTCCTTTAAGTATAGGGGGGCAGGACAAAGAAATCAAAACCCTCCTCCTTTCGAGGAGAGAACCCCCTATATATACTTTTTCAGCCAAAGCCCATCTCCAGGGAAAAAATAAAATTTTAAAAATATCCAGAAAGACGCTTTTCCGAAGAAAATATTTTTCCCAAAAGGGATTCCCACCCCATTAAAGGAGAGTTTTAGCCCGTGT